TTTAAAGTTTGATTTTTTTTTTTTTTTACATTTTTTGGATGAAGGAAAATGGGTATTTGTTGGCTTTTGTTTATAGGAATAGTTTGAATGGCTTATGGCATGAACATGGAAAATGTATATATTTTTCTTTTGGTGTCTATGAGTAGTTTCTACTCAATTTTTATAGTGGCATATTTTAATGTTGAAATAATTTATTACATTCTTAAAAGAAGATTGCAATTCGATGTGTTCGGTTTTGGGTTTTATTTAGTTGATAACTTGGGATTTATTTGGTGGGTTTTGTGCATTTTTATTGGATTGGAACTATGTGACATTTCGTGCTTGCTCTTTTGGACTAAGATTAAATTGTTTCATTCTGAATGTCATATGATAGATTATGGAAACACTTGGTGTCAGTTTTGAAATTTTTTGAAAATCTTGTTCGCCACTAAGCTTCATGTCCTAAATCCATTCTTCTCCTTTGACAGGTGTATTCCATTTAGGTATAAATGTTTAGATGAGGCAGATCATGAAAATTCTGAAAAGATTGTTGAGGTATTGATGATTAACTCAACTAGCGGACCGGGTCTTTTGTTTCCAAAGGTACAAAGTTGTGTTTCGATTGGGCATATACTGTAGTACTTACTTTTTGTGGCTTTACTTCCCTACCATTGCTAAACTGTTGCTATCTGTTCTGCTGTCAACACCCTTCAACGTATTTTACCTTCAGAAACTAATCCATAATTAAATTTTGCTAAAATTTTGCTATAAATTCGCTTTAAATTTGGTAGTTAATGTCATATTTGAGCTAACCTGTAGTATTCTTGCCATTGAAGAAACATGATTACTGCATAGAGAAAATAGTTGGGCTAAATGGAGTCAATATTAGCTGTTTGGTTTCTGTGTTTTCTTGGTCTCTATATCGTGAACAAAAGAGGATTTCTAGAATCTATCATTTTCTTATGGATATTTTGCTTTCTGATTTTAGGGAGGTTGGGAGAATGATGAAACTGTCGAGGAGGCTGCAGTGAGGGAAGCGATTGAAGAAGCTGGAGTCCGAGGGGAGTTAATGGTGAAAATTTTGTTCCTCAATTTTATTTATGCTTTTCCTTTTCCACTTTTGAGTTTGCTAAAACTATAACATATTTTCTGGTATTAGTTCATTTCTTGATATTTTGAAGTTTTTAGCATAGATCCCTACGTATCATTCATAAAATTAGTTTTTACCTTTGCATTACTTTTGTCAATATTATCATCATCAACTTTTTGGGGTAAGATTAGTGCAAATTCTTAGCTTGGCATGGTGGCAATCTAGCAAAATGTGCAATTTAGGAAGGTTAACTATACCAATGACCTTGTTGGGAATATTTACCTCAAAGTATTCCCTTGGTGAAAGAAACCTTTTGACCTTAGATGAAGAAATCAAAAGGTTATAGAAAGATAGGTAATACAGTATTATATTTTTTTATATATTGTGTTCTTGGTTTTTGGATGCTTATATATTTCACTTTTTTTAGATGAATAGGATATGCTTATATTCAAATCCTAGACTCCAAGAACAAAGAATGCAGAAGAAATTAGGATTCTAAGTACAAACTGTTCATTATCACAATAGCTAAAATAAATATTTTTGTTTTAAAAATGTTAAAGTGAATGACTCTGGAAATTGCAAGTTTGTACTTTATAGTGCCAGAGAACAATTAATTTTTGACACATTAATCAACTAGCCAACATGATAATGCTGCAACACTTTTTTTTTCCTCATCATTGAACTTATAGCCATGTTTTATCCAGTTGAGTCAAATTCTATAGTTCTTTTGTTAATTTTTTGATAAAGTGATGGTATTTCTTTTATTCTACTATTACAATAGTCAAGAAATCTTTGGCACATTCAACTGAAGTTTCTTCTATACCTAATTCATGAACTAAGCACATAGTAATGGCGATATTTGTCAGCAATAAGTTTTTGATATGACATGCTATTTTCTTGTTCGACATCGTATATTTTTCATTAATTATTTACTAATTGTTTAATGTAAGGGTTGTGGATTCAGGACTGCATAGGATATTATAATTTTAAGAGCAAAACACATCAAGATGAATTCAGCCCGGAAGGTTTATGTAAAGCTGCAACGTTTGCTTTGTTGGTAAAGGAGGAATTAGATTCGTGGCCAGAGCAAAGCACCCGTACAAGAAGTTGGCTAACCATACCAGAAGCAGTTCAAAGTTGTAGGCATGCATGGATGAAAGAAGCCTTAGAGGATGGCTTTTGCAAGTGGCTTGAACAAGAGTGAGCCCAGGGGAGGACTTCCCCAATCAAAATTAACTTGATGAGTGTGTATAAAACAAATGTTGGCAATCACACTCACTAGCAAATCATGCGTCATGGGGTTTTTTTATTTTTTTTTTAAAGTAGAAGACATTGGTGTTTGTGTTACATAGTGTTGCTATTTCTTAATTAATCGAGTTTGTTTACGGGTCTTATGTTGCTGGCCTCTATTGTTTAACTCGTGATCAATCGATCACCATCTATTGTTTTTAATATAACATTAACCATCTTTTGATTATATAACTGAAAAAATCGACTGAAGCATGCCATTTTAAAAAAACTAGAGCTGATTCAATCCAGTTAATAATTCAAAGATCAACTTAATTTTGTTCATCGGCTATTTGTCCAGTGATGAGAAACTCACAAAACAGATTTTGAGAGCTAAAAATGACTCAAAACAACTCTGAAAGATTATAAGCTTCAATTTAAACAAAATAACATATAAATGATCATATCCATCTATATATATATATATATATATATATATACCTCAGCAGCTTATAAACAAACAACCAGCATCATCTGTGAGATACAAGGCCAATGGCTACTTTTTTTTTCCCTTGGCTGCTCCTGTATTTCGTCTAATTGATTCCAGTGAGACAAGCCAGTTTCTTCTCATGCTCTATCTCCATCTCTGTACTTATTAACAATAAATAATCCTGAGATTGAATCGCCCACCGCAGTCAGGATAGATTTTCGAGCAAGTATGTTTACACAATGCAGTGGAAACGAACCTCCCCTGCTTCTCTAATCGAGCTGGACAGGCTAAAACCCCGAGTCTCCAAGCTTCAGGAATTAACTCAAAATACAATACAATGTAATGATTCATGAGGTGCTGGTTATGCCAAAGCTGTCATCAAGAACAATATCAGCAGGATCTCCTATCCACGGTCTCCCTTCCCTCCACTGAAACTTGATCCTTAGTTTTCCATTTGCATCAACCCCAACCACTTGCCCTTTGCTGGCATGAGTCTCCATTCCCCAACCCCACCTAGGTGTCACAAGCCCATCTCGTATCCTCACCTTGTCCCCAACTTTAAATGGCCTAACCTTTTCCATCTCGTAAGCCTTACAAAGCCATAGCCGTTCCATAAAGCAGAACACCACCCATAAGTCTCCATTTTCCATTCTATGCACTACCCCGATGCTTGAATGAGTTACCTCTCCCCAGTGGTGAGTTGGGATTGAAACTGATGACCTAACCCTAACCCAGTCCCCGATGGAAAGTTCCTGTTCCTCAACCAGCACCACTTCTGAAGGGTCTAGCACCCAAGTTTTGGAGCCAACAGGAGTGTATATTCTCAACTTTCCATCAGCATCAATTGCTGCTATTGTTCCAACACTTGAATGGCTATGACCTGACCAGCCAAATCTTGGCTGCTTCACTGACAGCTTCACTCTCACCTTCTGCCCTACGATGAGTCTATCCACTCTATCAAGATGGGAAGTAGGTCCCACCCATCTTTCCTGCTCTCCGCAAAATGCAACAAAGGTGCTTCCATCCCATACATCTCCTTCATAAGCTATTCCTTGTATGACACCAACACTACCAGGTCCGATAGATTTCCAATTACTAGCATTTTCTCTCAGTTTCACCCACTCTCCCACTTCAAACATCTGCTCTATTTCAAGATCTGCAGGATCTCCTCTCCACATCCCCGGCAAACCAAAGAAAGCAACTCTCACTTCCCCATCAGCATGAACACTAGTAATAATGCCCCGTGAATCAGATTGAGTCCCTCTCCAGCCCCACCTTGGCTCAACTAATCCAGCTCGAAACCGAACATGTTGCCCTACTTTAAAGCTTGGAACCTTTACTACATCTGAGAAATGGGTAATCCACCTCCCTTTCCGGAAGCAGCAAGCCAATTCTAAATATCCAGTATCCTGAACACTATGCACTACTGCTAAACTTTCTTTCCCAATAGTATTCCAGTCATAACTTGGTCTAGTGCCAAGGCTTGGCTTTGAACGGACCCAATCACCAACTTCAAATCCTGAAAGCCTTTCTGCATCTCCAGGGGAAACTTTCCACAAACTATGCCTGCCAGCAACCCTCACCTGCAGAGCACAAAGAAAACCACTCCATTACAGCAATTCAATGAATGAACAAGCCAATTAATAGAATAGTCAACATATAATATTAACTGATGCATTCCTTCCCAACAGTGACAAAATGAAAATGTTGTATCAAAAGATATAATGCTCCAACATTTCCCCAGAAGAGCAATCCAGATAAAATGCGAAAGTAAAAACAAAATATATGGAAAGAATAGAAAGTTGTGCCCAAACATGAGCAGCATGCTTACATTCAAGGCTCCATCCATGTCAATTCTAACAATTTTTCCAACAGTCGCTAGAGTTTCATTCGACCATCCAAGTCGTGGCTGACTAACAGATGGCATCACATGAACCTCTTGTCCCACTTCAAAAGGAGGCACTTTCTCCATATCAGTGACAGAGCAACAAAAAGGCTTGCTTCTGAAGCAGAAAGCAATACCCATATCACCATCATCCTCTAAGCTATGAATCACACCAATGCTGTTGCGTGTAACATCCTCCCATCCATATTTTGGGGAGGATACTGAAGATTTTACTCTGACCCAATTCCCAACCTGCTCTCCATGGAAATATACAGAACAAGATTCATTAAAATCCTCGTGTGTCTGCCCCAAAAAGAAAAACCTTGACGGATAGTCCAATTACTACATTAAGAAAAGGACAGGTAATTACCTCAAAATCCTCAACCTTTTCCATGTCAGAGGGATCAGCCTGCCATGGGATTGGTCGATTTGGTATTTCAATCATAAGAAGCCCATCGGTATCTATCTCGCTAATTCTTCCAACACTATGATGGGTCTCACCACCCCAAGCACATCGTGGTTCTGCAACAGTTCGCTTCACACACACCCGGTCACCAATCTATAAAATTAAACAATATATTACTTTTTCTTTGTATGAAGAACAAGTTTCAATTAAAGAGAAAAGAGTAAAGTAAGTAGAAAAGCTCTATCAACACCCTTGGTAAAGAAAGTTTGAAGTCTCTTATATACCCTGAATGGAGTAACAGGTTCAACCTCTTCCGGTTCACAATGCCAAGGATTTGGAAGATAGCTCAAGTCCAACAATAGACTACTATCTGGTCTAATACAGTACACTATACCAATGCTCCCTGGTGTCACAGATCCTAATCCATGCTTTGCTGTTGTAAGAGTTGGACGAATACGAACCCAATCCCCAACCTTGAAATCTTCAACTCTTTCCATCTCTGCAGGATCAGCTTTCCATCCTCTAGAAGCTCCAGGAAAGCCAACACGCAAAATCCCATCATCATCAACACATAAGACAGTTCCAATACTGTCACGTGATTGACCACGCCAACCAAACCTGAATAGAACAAACCTATTTATTAATTCAAACTAGGTATCAATAATCAAGCCAGTCAATTTAGTTAAAGGATTGCAAGCATGCAAAAGGCAGAAGTACAACTTCAAGAGTAGATTAAAAGTCTATTCCACGGCATCTAATGTATAGAATCAGATCAATTGTAGGATAAAGAGCATGAATCACAGGAAAAGCCATAATGACTTCCAGTCTCTCACATAAACATTAAAAAGACTAAGTAAACCATTTTCTTTTTTTCTTTTTGATAGGTAAAAAAAAATAGTAAATTTGAGGCAAGGGGGTACCCATCCAAGTACAATACTAACTTCTACATAGCAGAAGATCGATTGTATCCTGACATTAATTACCTTTTTTACCCAGGGGAATATCTTCATCAATCTCCACATATATAATACAAATATAACAATTTTTAGTTATATGATGATTAAAAAGATCACAAAAAATATTATCATCCTACTTGAACCAAAATACTCAAAATATCCTAAGATTAAGCATGCAATTTCTAAATTATTTTGACTATGGTTTTCAAACACCATGGCAATAGCATCATGCACCTTCAAAGAAAACACTATTTTTTTTAGAGTTTTGCAAAGTTCCGATTCCAGGAAATAAATGGAAAAGCATAGGGCTAGTGCACCTCATATCCCAGTCATAGGACACTTAAAGACCAAATAAACTGCAAACTATAAATTAGAAACTAGACTGATCCAAACCTTGGCTCCTTGACATCTGCTCTAAGCTTAACATGCTGCCCTCTATCCAGAGGAATCACTTTTACAACTTCATTTACCAATACACGAGCCTCTCCAGAACAAAATGACACTACAAGATTGTCTCTATCCACCACACTTTGCACAAAGCCAACACTTTTATGTATTGCACCTTGCCACCCATATGTAGGTGTAGTGATTCTTCTTCGAAACTTCACCCAATCACCCACTTCAAATCTGAATAAGATCAAGAACTCCAGAATCATCAGAAAATGATTACAGAATAAACAAATTATGTGAATGAATGCAAAATGATGTAAAACTTCTTACATTGTAGGAGACAGATGAACGCCCCTATTCGTTAGTGCCTCCATTAGATCTTCAGAAATCCAATCACGGGGAAGTGTCTCCAGAAAGTCTCGTAATGTCTTACCACTGTCATCATACGTATTGACACCATGTTAGCAACACAAGGATCCAACATATAGACTCTACAGTGTAAAATGTGTTGCCAAAAAACAAATCAAACCAAAGAAAAGACATGAATACATTTATGAACAAAAGAAAAGAGTTGATAGCAATTAACCAGAATTGACCTGTGATTTCTAACTTCAACAGCAGCATCAGGATTTCCCAGCATTACAATGAGCCATTGAAGATTTTCACGTATCATTTTTGCATATTCTGCTGCTATATGGAAAGCATTATTACCTTCATCTCCCTGGTGATGAGCAAAGACACTATGAATAACTGAAGCACAAGAAGAAAAGAATAGCTTATGCTATGTTGCTCCAATTCTTAATTTTCCTAACATCCCCTTGTTAGACATATATTGGAAAGTTATGCCTTTCCTGTCACATATCTCCTTTATCTCAATCTTAAACAACTGTAATTGCAGTTTTATTTAATCTTATTTTATTTTAACATAAACCATCATATTTGAAGAGCAATCTGGATTGATTGACCACTAGATAGATTTATTAAGTCAATCCAATGCATCATTTTATTCTATTTTTTTCAAATCACTGCATTAAATACATAAATATTAGATGCATCATTGCTCCT